CAGGGCGCCCGGGCCCCGCCGCCCCCTCGGGCACCCGCGAGGCCGGGCCCAGCCCTTACTCACCGGGTGCGGGGCGGCTCCGCGGGCGGGGACGGTAGGGCCGGGCGGTGTGGACAGCGCAGCTGCTCCCTGGGCCGCGCTTCTCGGTGTGACTGAAGCGCGCAATGCTGCCCCCACAAGGTAAGTGCCGTAGGCCACGCCCCTCCAGCCGGGCCCCTCCCTCCTGCGCCAATCGCCGGCCTCTGCAACAATCCCCGCGACACCTCATTGGTCGACACCCGCCGTTTCCCGCCGCGGCTTACTGTAGCGTTTTGTTGCGGCCCGGCATGCCGCGCGCGGGCGTCGGTTCCCATGGCGACAGGCGATCGCCGCGGCCCCAGCACGAGGTCCTGGATGGAGGCCGCTCAGCTCACGAGGGGCATTCGGCTGCACTGAGCCGCAGGCACCCTCCGCCGGTCCCGGGCCTCCCTCCCTGCTACGGCCTCCGGGTCCTGGCTCTCCTCCCCTCCCCTGGAGGCGGAGGGGGCTAGGGGCGCGGCCCGGCCAGGCCCGCCGAGGGGGGTCCCGCGGGTCTGAACCCCTCAGCCGTAGCCTCCCCGGTTAAAACTCTCCAAACAAACCCCCAGGGAGGAGGCGCCGCTCTGCGCGCAGCAGACGGGGTGGGTTGAGGGCCCTTAGAGCCGGGCAGTGCTCAGCGGGGCGTGGGGCCCTGCTCAGGCCATTTCCCAAGTGTAGGGAATGGCCGGGAGGATCCTGTCTGCTCTGGCCCGTGTGACACTGGCTCATGATCCCCGCCGAGGACTCTGCCTCGAGCCTGTGAATCACCTTGGGCAGCGCAGTATCTTTCAGAGGGGCAGCCCGGCTGCATGGGAAGGCGTCCAGCAAGGCATCTTCTTAAGTCACTCATTTCAGAGGTAACATTGTGCATGCTCTTTCTACTGTTGGTTTTTCTCACTTCAGCTTCCAGCCCCTGGACCTTCTTATTTTTTTCAATTAAATAAAATTACATGTCATCAAGTAAATAAAGTAGTCATATAGCATTGGAACATCCCCTGGTAGGGGCTTTGACACCACTTTCAAATTGCCTCTTTGCTCTTTCATAAAACAAATAGATACATCTTTTTAAATAATCTCATTGGATAAATGTTTGGCAGACCTCGAGTTGTTCTTGTACCTCTTGCCTGAACACTTTCTTATTTTTCAACGTCTTTTTCACAGATGGGCACCGGAATTGAACGCATGTATCTTGCTGTTGCTGTATGTAGAGGTGGCAGTACATCCTCCTTGTCCCATCTGATATTCTTCTGCATAAACTTCCAAAGATCATATCACTCTGAAATAAAGTATTACTTTGGAAAATTATATTCAGTTGTTTATCCCCCATGATCCCAAAATCTTTACACAGAGACTATATTCAAAGGTGCAGTCTCCCATCTTGTAAGTGTGGCCTATTGCTCTATGACCTTGCATTTGACTTTATTAAAATGTGTGACTGTGTTGTTCAACTGAGCCCATATTAGCAAGCAGTCCAGGTCAGCCTGTATAATTGAACCTGTTGTCATCATTATTCACCAGTTTTTGTGTCATCCGCAAACTTTATCAGGAATTATTTTATATTTTTCCAGGCCATTGATAAAAAATTTGAATAGCTTTGGACCAAGTACAAATCCCTTCAGGACCCCATTAATAACACCTCCAGTGGATTATGAGTCTTTATTTATAATTCCTTTTTTGCAATCTATATGCTAATGCTAACCAGTTTAAATCCTTTAATAGGGGCTACACAGATTTTGTATAGTGCTAATTTTTGTTATCAGAATGTCATGCAGAACTAAATGAAATGCCTTGCAGAAAGAATTCCATTATGCTAACACTTAACTTTACTAACCACTTTTTTAATTTAAAAATAATTTTGACACAGACCTATTTTCCATAAAAACATGGTGATTGTCATTAATTACTCTATATCCATTAATTTTGTATTGATTGTATCCCGTATTGGCCTTTCCATGATTTTGCCAGGGGCTGATAGCAGGCTAACAAGCCTGTGGTTTCCTTTTTCAATATTGGCTTGATACTAATTTTTTCCCTGGTGCTCTGGAATTTCTCCAATTATTCAAAATCTGTTAAGAATTAGTAATAGTGTTTCTGAATGCTCCTCAGATAATTCTTATAATACTTTTTGGTGCAGAATTTAAAATGGTTGACTGCAGTAGTTGTCTAACATTCTCTTGCCACTGTTGAAATAGGACAGGAGTCAGCAACCTATGGCTTGTGGGCCAGATCCAGCCTGCAGAACCATTGGATCTGGCCTGTGGATGTATAGGCAGCTGGAAAAGTTTGCCTGTACCTGAATAGGAAGTATTTAATTATCACTGTATGGTATGAATAATCATGCTGCTTCTTTCTAAATGCCGAACATAAAAAACCCAAAGTATTAAATAAATATTTACATCAGGATGACAGTGTTATATTTATCAAGTCTTAGATCTGGCTATTACTAAGTTTGCCTTTGTTCATAATATATTTGTAAAATACTTTCTTGTTGTTACTAATTCTAGTGGCCCTAATTTTATTATTGATACCTTTATGACAAAGGTTGGCTCTGGAAGATCTAGGAGGAAACCCAGCAAGAATCAACAAAGACTGTAAGAAGATGGTTTTGTGTACTGGAAATAATAAGAAAAATGTGTGTGCAGGTTTGGGCTAGATATGATTTGAGAAATACAGGAGGATAAAAATGGGCAAGATAAATGTGTTTTTTGGTAATGTGAGCTAATCTGTTGCCAGCTAGTATGAGACAACTAAAATATCTCTCACTGGTCTGGCTGTATTTTGATCAAATGCTTGTCACTGTACTTGTTGTGCGGGTGTGGTCATTTATAAGTATTTTAATATTGCTAAATAGTATACTTTTAGTATTTTGGTATTTAAAGCAGTGGGGGCCAAACTTTTTGGCCAGCATGCCACAAAATTAGCCCTATACCCTCCCCCACATGCCTCTCTGATCCCCTTCCTCTGCCCAGTCTCTTGGTTTGCTTTCTGCTTATGCCCTGTCTGCTGCTGTACTGCATGTCCCCTCCTTGATCTGCCATGTGCTGCAGGTTGGCCACCCCTGATTTAACTGTATAACTCAAGGTGGGGGAGAGGATTATTTGGGCTGGAGGGCCACTTACAGAGTTTTGGTGAGCTTTTGCAGGATGGGGGAAGAAATTGATTCTATTTGGCCCTGACCCAAACCCACTGTCAGGGATGCCAGAGTGGGTGGGAAGGTGTTGGGGTCTCCATAGAAACCAGCCAGGACCCCTGTGGTAAGGGCATGCTCAGCTGGACGAATGGGATGGGGCAGCAGTCAGGTGGGAAGCAGTGTCCAGGAGTGGGATGGCAGGCAGGGCCAGAGTCATGAACATGGGGCGGTGACAGTGCAGGGCCAGGGCCTGGAGCAGAGCTGGGGAATGGATTGCAGCTCTGCTTCGGGCCCCTATCCCATGTTGTCAGCACCCCACAATCCCAGCCCTCCTCTGCCTCATGTCCCACTCCTGGATGCCATGCCCCACCCATAGCCCCATCCCATCTGCCTAACCAACCATGCCCTGTCCACAGAGATCCCAGCTGGTCTCCTTGGAGACCTCCCCCCTCCCCCTACCTGCTCCATCTGGCCTTCCCAGCAGTGGGTGCAGGGCAGATGGGCCAGGGTACCTGGACAGCAGGGCCTGACTCAGTGTCAGCAGCGACTGTAGCAGCAGCAGCCAGAAGGAGCTGCTGCCTCTGGAGCTGCTGGGAAGTTGAATCAAGCCACCGTGCTGCCCCAGCCCTGCTGTGTGCCTGGGGATGATGGGACTGGCTATATGAGCCATGGCTTGGGTTGCCCACCTCAGGCCAGACAGAATTCCTTGGCAGGCCAGACTTGGCCCATGGGCCATATTTTGCCCATTCTTGGTATAACTGCTATTGGCTTTTGGATTTAGTAAAGGAATTTTAGTTGAATCACTGACATGGTTAATTGAATTTCAACAGTACTGAACTTACAGAAATGAACCATTCAGCAGCCTGCAGTCCCTTCAGCACTTACAACAATATTTGGAGATATCCATAGATAAGAAGTGAATGTAAGAAGTGACG